CGATGCCGTCGCGCGCGCACTCACACCCACACGTGCGCGTTCACTTTGACGCGAAGAAGTGTGAATTTCGTGGTTCCCTTTTATGGCGCGGCGCGTGAGTCATAACGAAACCACGAAAACACACAGAGAATCCGAGAGCGCAAATTTTTGTCGCCATTGATCGAATTCGCCCATCGGGCTTTCATTATGTTTCCGTAAAAGAAAGGAAAAATGAAAGATTTCACTGGTGACTCATCGAAGAGTTCAACGACGTCAAACGTGGCTGAAACCGCAAACGCCGCACAGAGATAAATTAGTGTTTACTTAACCCTTTCGCTACTATTTTGCTTTTTAAATGTACATTTTCTTTACTTTTACTTAATACATTAATATACATTAATACAATTAATGTATTAATACAATTAATGTATTAATACAATTAATGTATTAATACAATTAATATATACAATTAATAATATATTAATACATTAATATATATTAAATACATTAATATACAATGTAGTTTGAGCAGATTTCGCGTTTGGCACCAAAAAAATAAGGCCGAAACACTAATGTCCTACTAGAGTCTTTGGGAGGACATATTTATCCCGATAATAATAAGTAGACTGATAGCTGATGTATTCTGAATATCAAAAAAGTTTTTATTCGATTGAATAAAGTTATTATTAATGATAAGGTAAATACATACATGTCAGAGAAAGGGTTAAAACCAATATATTCAAATTGTGACAATCATTGTTTCATATATGGACAATGATATGTAATTTTGTTAAAAAATTTTTAAGTCCTAAATTTCAACAATATTATAATTTTACAATCCACTAAACGTTTATTTGAACGAATTTTGTTCCTTCAAGCAAAATCTCAACCACTTTTTCCTCCGTGTACAAAATGTATCGATGCAAGTAATTCATCTCGTTAGTGCTGTATAATGTTATATGAAGATTTGCATGTCAAAAGCAAAGATATGCGAGCAAGAATGCTCGCTTTTTCTGTGCGCGTTCGTAGACGCGGATGAAATGTTTCCTCTCGAATAAGAGCATTTATACCCAAAACACACCCGCGCGAACGTTTACACAGCATGCGTATTAATACGCAAAATCACCGCTTTGTACCAATCAACACAACTGCCTATTAAATTGCCATGTCTATTAAATAAGCTCGATGCGCGCTGAAGCGCGCACATTTACCTCACGGCAGGTGCTCGCGCGCGGGCGCGCGTCAGTGTCGCTTCGAACGTTTCACTGAATACCGGTCGAATCCAGTTCATCGCAGTTGAATGGCTCATTATTGTTGGCGAGCTGTTGGCGAGAGTTGGCGAGCAATCTAGTCCGCGTGCATAAATTACCGTGTCGTTCGCATCGATTGCGTCCTTATTTTCCCGGTACGCGTTAAGAATTGCGATTTATCGCGGCCGAGACCGTGGCGGGCATAGAATATCCGTTACGGTTCAATCTTACGTGGGTCGTTTGAAAAGCGCTTGGCCTGAGGTAACGCGACCAGATCTTTATTATCGTATTTCAGAGTCATCTTTTATCAGGCTAAGTGTGAGGGAGAATTCACATCTTGGCAGAAAAGCAGAAACAAGAGGATAGGAGCCAATTAGAACTCGCGATTGTAGAATAGCAGAAACTGTCGACTACTACACCTAACTACCGGCGTGTGTTCTGACTGGCTCTTGCCTTTTTGTTTCTTTGCGAAGGTATGAATTCTCCCTGACAGTATAGTGGTTTGTCGATTAGTTTTTGCTGGACAACGCGTCGCCAAAACGCCTCAAGTGTCTTTGTGTGTTCATTGTTTCGACTATTTCCGTATTGGAGTGAAGTGATAGGTTTCACATTGGTGCTGAAAGTCCTTCAAATTGCGGCGAGATTCAAGTTGCATACAAAAGATATGAGAAACAATGAAACTGTTCAGTCTTTACGGATGCGACCAAACGCCCGCAGAGTTCACTTTGGCGCACTGTCAAACAAAGACGAGAAATTGCTCTATACTGTATCGTACTTAATCTAATAAGAAGGATGGCTCTGAACGGTAGTAAGGATTTGACCAAATTCGTGCGTTACCTGTTATTAGGTCACGTAGTTTTTGAACGACCCGCGTAATGGGACCAGCGTCGACGACGGCCGGCTCACTTGATCCGCTTGTCTGAAAACACGCGTAGAGGGACACACACGTGAATTTAACTACCATAAATCGTAGCACGGTATATAGCGGCGGTTTACAGCGGCCAGGCTGTGTGTCGAGCAAGCAAGAGCAAGTGCGCGCGCGCGCACCGTTTTACGGTGCCATCATTAGCGCAAATATCGTAGCTGGTTCTATCCTCTGCAAGTCGGCACATGCGACAGATGTTAACACCGAATTAACACGCACAACGTACGACTACATCGAGCCCGTGGCAAGTTAACAGCGTTGCCGGCACGTCGATATGATCGCAATTTCAGCTTACAACGATAATTAACGCGCGCTGTACAGCCGTACAGCGCCTGTGAGTGGGCTCTGCTAAAATGTACTTTACCGGCCATTAACCGCCGCGCAGGAGGACGCGAGACCTCGTCGCGGAGGTCGACAATATGCCGTCGCAAATATCACGAACACTTCGGCGACGGTGTGTTTTTGAGGGACCCGAGGTTATGCGCGCTCTCGTTACGTCGTTCGCTCGGACGTGTGGTAAATGTAGTTCCGTGTACACGAGAGAGAGTTTCTCCAGTCTCGGCTACATACATCAGAGAGAAAGAGAGAGAGAGGGAGGGTGGAAGGGAGAGAGAGAGAGGGCTTAATTTCGATGTTGGATTCCTCATGTTGATCCAAAATGGAATTTTCCTTGACGGAAACGCGGTCTAACGAATATCGCGGTTGTTGCGTAACGCAGACGGGGAATAATGTTCTCCAATCAAATCGAAACGCAATTACACGGGCCAGTGGCATTTTGTCGATTGCGTCCATTGTTTCGCGACAAAGAGTTACTATATAACTAATCCATATATAATATTAATCAGTGATACTAATCGCTATGCCAAATATTGTAGCTCCGGGCGAATTTAATAACGACGTCGATAACCCGTTTCCGACTCTGTATATGTGTGTGAATGTGTGAACGCGCGCAAACGTCTCTTCCGTGTTTGCGCAAGTACTTCCGTAAGCGGATACAGAGTCGTAATTAGACGCGGTGCTCGCTGAGAGGAGTACTCGAAAAGTAAACGAGCGAGGGACGAGCGAGCAATAATCCAACAAAGACGTGCGTACACCCACCCATCCACCTACTTAACACACGCACCACCAACATCAATATATGCACGCATATCCACACACGTTCGCCCGAATGCTGTGCACGCGCACACGCGCGTGTTTTACATACTTGGCGTGTGTTAGCTTCTCGTAACTTTTGGAGATCGAGCCGCGCGCGAAAATAACGGATAATATCGATTTTGTCGCCCGAACAAGCAGTGGGCCGTAAAGTTATAACGATGTTTAGTTCCTCAGGGCTCTTAACTCTTCTTTAACTCACGAGACTTTGGTCTCCGGATCGTAAAACGCGACGTCGTCATTGTCGACGATGATTACGACGCGAGAGCTCGGCATGTCTCGCTCTCGCGTTGCTGTTTCCGTGGAAATTATAATTTTAATTATAATTTCAAGAGACTCGTAAATGTGAAACGCATTCATTATCCGCATGCCGATCATTCGCAAATGTCTCTCGCTACGGCGGTGGGCAGCAGCTACACTAATTAGTGATCAACGATCCGATCCGGTTCGAAACACGATACGTCATACTTGCTCTCCCCTGAACGTTCAACGCGCGAAGGAGTCGTGTCGGTTATGTATTCATCGATAGTAATCTTTCGTGGTTATTTTCGCTTCATCGAACCGCGCGGCTGCTTCCTGTCTCTCTTCATCCGTGTGTCGAGAGATTTGCATTTTTCCAACTTGTTCTTCTCGATGAAATTTTTAACGCCTCAAACGTCTCGACGTCGCGTCTCGTTCCTACGGATATTAGAAAAATCGATCGGCGCAAACTTACGTTGACGTTCATGTAGATGGAAAAGGAGCAGCTGATTTGTGTGTGTGTGTGTGTGTGTGTGTGTGTGTGTCTGTGACTGTAAAATGTTGTTTATCGACAAACAGAATTACTGCGCTCAGTGTTCACGAATGCAGCGAGTTTTCGACTAACAGCATCCGTATCGAGCTAAGATGCATTTCTCATGATTGTTGATTAATCTAGAACGCGGGAACGTGTATTCTGTATTAATGAACATAAGAGTGATAAGAAAGACGTAGCTAGAAACGAATGTGTCGAAAGTGTGCAGTATCTATCGAATGATAAAACGCCCGCGAGCGTGCAGAGGGCATCGTAGAGGGCCACCAGAGTCGCGGCGCGAGATCACTTGCGCGGCCATTTTGGATCTCTTTGCTTCGTGCAGCCGTCGTCGACGCATCGATCGACATCGCTCCGCGCTTTACGCGTCTTTTGTCCGTCGAAAGTGGGTTTCTCGCGCATGAATGAGTGCCGAAGCAGCAATGTGCGACCGTCGGGACGTGGCGTAAGTACATTATTCAGGAGTGATCTCCTCGTTTCTCGGTATATTGCGTCAGACAATCGACATTTGTACCGGTGTTTCTTGCGCCCGTTGTTACGTTGCGTCGCTCAAGTAGCAACAGAGTCCGCCGATTTTCGAACGCCTCCGGCTCCAAGACGTTAAGTTCCGCAATAAGTTCGGTCTCTCGAAGATACTCGGGAACACGTGCGCAACGACGACAACGGCAGGCGCGGCACCAGCTTGGCGCGGCGTGACAGGTACGGTCGATCGGCCACATCCGTCGCCTGTCTGCATTCTTTCACGCGCCGCGTCGCAAACCTGCGCTCCACGCGAAATTCCGACGGGCGCTGCAAAAACGAGCAGCACAATGCGAATTATGACGACACGTTAAATGTCGCGCGACACGGCGCGGTCGTAAAGAGGCGTTACCGCGCCGCCGACGTGCGTGTGCATCTATCTGTGCGTCGGTCGTGCGCGTTACGTATCCGCCCGTCTATCTATCGTCGCGTATGCAGCAACGGCGTCGAAATGACAGCGTCGCAGTGACACAGATCGGCTCCACGGTTGCTCGCGCGTGTACGCGACGTGCGAGAAAAAAAAATAGGAATTCCGTCGTGACCACGAATGTGCCGAAATTGCGGTGATGAAATCCCATAAACTCCATCTGGCGTTACCCGTCCTCCCCCTGCGCTATGCGAACGCTCGCTTAGCTCAAAAAGTTGTGTGCGGCTGATTACGCGGCGCGATAAAATGCTTGTTTTCGCGCGTTTAAGCTCGGTGAGTTAGGTGCGACTCCGACTTTCCCTTCATCGTGGGAACTTTTGTGCTACTTCGATACTGCTGAAACTCTCGTGTCGGATAGCTTTCGCTTTTAGAAGGAGAATTCACAAAGAACTATTCGGATATACTTAAGGACTCTCCGTGGAAACAATGTAATGTGAAGAGTGTGCAGTCTGTGAGAGCCTAGTCGCGGTTCTCTGGTGCGATTGCTAAATAGAATTACTCATGGGGGATCTCCTTGTTTGAAATTGACAAGTTGGAAAGCTTGTTTGAAAACAGAGCCAATTAATAAGTCAGTCGGTAGTTTTAGTTTATCTGGGAACGGATAAAAGGGAATTATATGAAGGATAGTTTGAATAAGGAAGATAGACTCAGCGGCTCAGCTCAATACGTTTGAAATGAAGACCGAAGGATAATCCGGCGCGTGAGTCTAACCTATTTCAAACAACGCGAGATCCTACTGTGAATAATTCTATTTGGCAGTCACGCCGAAGAACCGAGATTAGGCTCTTAGGGCAAATTTACACCTCGACAGAAAAGCGGGAAACGGAAAGGCAAACGCCAATCGGAACTCGCGGTCAGATGGTAGTCGACAGTTTCTGCCAAGTGTGAGTTCTCCTTTTCAGGCCGTAAGTACTCTTGACGTTAAAGAATTCAAAGAATTTCAAGAATAATATTTACATATTCCTCCTCTCTCGACGATGAAAAATAACAAAGAAAAAAAAATGATGACGCATGTGATTAGCGTGTAAATTGCACTCTGCGATAGAATACCGACAGACAAGATAGAGGAAATAATCTCTTATCACCGCACTCACACATCTACACGCGGTTATCATTTCCCGTCTCACCAAGCTCTATCTTTTATCCTCATTGCCGCAGTCGGGTGTCTATTTCTCCTCTTCCCTTCCCCCTCTCTATGTCCATAATTATATTCAATGTTTTTCCATCCGACGAGGCGAAAACACGCGGAAAACAACGGGTATTAAATTCTTTACGTAACATCGTGTTCGCGAAGTTAGCGAAGACATTGTTAGCCGCCGTGTACATTTTGTTTCTTGTCCGTGTCTTTTTTGCCTTCCTCTTTTGAATCTGACGGATTGTAGGATCGAGCGAGATAGATAGATAGAGAGAGAGAGAGAGAGAGAGAGAGAGAGAGAGAGAGAGAGAGAGAGAGAGAGAGAGATAGAGAGAGAGAGAAAGAGAGTAGTACGAATATGACGAGGCTGGTTTACACAAAACGAACCTGCGAAAAAACGCACTGTAGCGAGCGCGCGTGCCTGTTACGAAAAAAATCTGCCGCACGCGCGCGCGCGCCACGTCGGCCAGTTAATTGCTTTTTAAGTCGGGGTAATATGCGGGAGGTCGTGCTTCATCCGCAGCTTTTAAACCACTAGCGAGCCGCGATATTTCCTCTCCCTCGCCGCCGGCTGCGGCATACGCCGGAATTCCATCATAACCGTTAATGCACCACTTCGACGCTCCTCGACGTCATAATATCAAACGAGCCAGTTGTTAAGCCGGGATCTCCATTTTCGAGAGACCGGCTTTTAATTATTTCGCGGAATTCGGTGCTGTTCGCGCGCTAATTTGTGGCCGTCCTTCCCGATCCCGGCGTTGCTGCGAGTCGATTTAGCGAACGTTAAACACGACGGCAGCCGGGGGATGGACGCGCCGCGTCCATCTATCTCGAGACAAGCCGGGATTCTGTCGCGCATTGTTTCGACGCGACTGCAAACGCCGTATTAATTTTCCCCTCTTTTTTTTTTTATTTCCCCGACGTTTCGGCCGTTGTTCGTTATTATTTTTCCCTTTTTCGATATTTCCGATATTTATTTATTTGTATACGTTAATAAATTACTTCCTGTCTGTATACCGGGGCGATATATCGGTTGGATCTGGTTTCACGTTTTATTAACTGCAATTTTTCCACGCATACTGACGGGAGTTGCGAGCACCAGCTTGACACGGTCAACACCTTTCCGTATAATCGGGTCGCACGAGCGCCGTATGCAAATTCCCAGCTAATTTCCTCGCCCGTCTGCGCGACACGCTCATTTCTTACGGCACGTGGCTTGTAATTATCAGGCAGGATATTTGATTTCCTTCGCGAGCAAAGACACGCTCGCGTGCCATTTCCAGTGTCTTCTCAAAACACACTCCCCTACGTGTTTGCGCACACCGATGCGCCCGAGAACACCCGGGACGTGGAACTCGGCGGAGATCTAGGGCCGCAATTGCGAACGCCGCTGGTACGTTCGCGTCAATTCGCTTGTTTGCATATCTCGCGCGTCTCTCTGAATCCCTTATAATACGCGTAACACGCGTGCCCCGGCGCCGGTTCCGAGTTGAAACATTAGCCCCACTTTGGACCTGAACTTCCCAACATCTGCATGTACTGAAGGACCGGTGTATTATGCGCAATACACTTATGCATGGAGGTACCTACTTAGCGCTTCTAAACGACAAAAGGCGCACAAAATGCGTCACTTGTGGGTTCTAAAAAAAGACCTCTCGGCAAAAAAGCTAGTAAGTTAATTCTAGAATTCAAAAAGTTACGTAAACTCTAAGCATGAGTATATTTTATCGGGCGCATTTTCACGTGCTCATACTTTCTAGAAAAATGGTCAGGATTAAAATTTTTTTTAATTGATGTGGAAACACGGAGAAATATAAATCTGTTAATGTTTTTGTGAAGTTGAGAAAAATTACAGTGAAAAAACATGTTTTTAAAAATTGTAACGTTTGAAGAGTCGGTCTTTTACACACGAGTTTTTTGTTAGAATTCTAGGATTAAATAGAATAAAAAAAAGACTGATGTGAGCTTGGCAGCATCAAGATAGGCGTTGAGTGGAATATTGAGGTCGAGAGCAGGATCAAAATTTCGACTCGGACGGTCGTTGGTAACGCGCGCCAGCAGTCCTGATCGACAAGTCGCCGCGACCTGTGAATCGATCGAGTTTCCGTGGCGCGGCGATTTTAATTCGCGCCGGGCAACCGCCAGGATATCACCCTCGCACGAATAACGCTCGTCCCGCGAGCGATTCGCATTTTTCCAAAGTTCCGTTCGCGACGGGACGAAACCGTCTGTCTCTCTGGACGAGGGCCGCGGAGAGAGGTGCTGGTCGGCCAGCCGCGTAATATTATATCGCGATATCATGGTGCACGCACAGCAGCAGCAGCCGCAGAGAGCAACAGGGGGCGTATGAACGTTCGCGCTGCTCCTGTATATGTGCGTGTGTGCACATGGTGGACGTGTGCGTGTGTTCGCGTTTCTCGGATTTAATTTCACGCTTCTATCCTGGCCAAAAACACACACACGTACGTGTACGACGTGGACGTTTACGTGTGTGCACACACGGCAGCACGTCGTGCATGTACGTGCAACGAATTGCGCCGGAAAGCGAGAGACCGTCGGCCGGCCGGCCGGCCGGTTCGTCGGTTGGCCTGCCTGCCTGCCGGGACGCTATAGGCGTTATTTCCGGTCGTTGTTTTTTCGTGCTCACCGCCGACGGTATACGGCCGGCGAAAAAAAGAGTAATACCACTATGTGTGCGCGATAGATTATAATCCAAGGATCACAGAGCGACGTGACATATTGCGAGCGGTAGAAATTTCAGCTGTCCGTCGTTCGGAAACGAGGCTACCGCGTCATTTCGTCTCGCAAATTTTCCATCGTACCGAACGCGCGCGTCACAGAATACCCCGTCGATGTGTACTGTTTATTCCTCTATTAACTCTTTGAAGCTCGGCTGCGCGACGAAATGCCCTCTCGCTTGAAATTCCCGCACGAGAGATTGCTCCTCGCCGCCGTCGTCGTTGTAATTGTCGAATAACTGAGCAGGTTCGCTTTTGCATTAGTTAATTTTACGCGACGCCGCGTAAAGTTTCGCCGCGTCAATTACGAAACACCTCGTCAATTTAGAAGCGCCTATTCTCTTAATTGTATCACATAATGAGCTGGCAAAATGCAGGGCCTCAGAGATCCCATCTGTCGCGTTGTTTTTCATCAAATATAAGTGTGCCAATTTCGTCCCTCAATCTTCTCGGTGTCGTATTTCGCACGTAAGAGCACCTCTGTCTCGAAAACCTTTATCGGAATGAAGAGCTGCGGTCACCTCTTTATCTTATCTCGCGAGAAGCTGACATGTTCCGAGATGTGAGTGCGCGCCCCATCTTCGGGAAATATGTCTCGCGCGTGCGCGAGAAATTCTTGTGTCTGCGAGACATCCTCCCCCGGGAGATGCCCTTTGTTTCACGGCGAAATAAAAAAGGAAACGTACCAATCACTTTGTGAAAAAGCGACGTGGCATTCGGGGGATCTATGCTACTTGTCCCCACCGGGGCGAGACATCAATAACAGAAGAGAGAACGAACAAATCTGTCATCTCCTCGTCGTTCTCTCCTTGCTGTACCGTTCACCCTATCATACCTGCTTCCCGCATTCGCGACAAGAGGGTAGAAGAACACTCGTTACTAGAAATTAGTCGCACTCTGGGAGGCGATTTTTGAGGAAATTGACTCCCTCGAGTGCGTCTCGCGACGGTCTGCGTCGCGGAACCTATCACCGTTACTACTCAGTGATCCGACTCGAGATCTGACGCGAAGTGTGGAAAAAAATGCCTTATGAAATGCACGGGGCGGAGTATTCCGGATAGCCCGAGCAAAATTAGATAGCACGAACCCCGAATGAAAACGGTTCAGCGAGTCAAGATTCTCGGGGCGCGGGCTTGCGCGGAAGAAAGATGGTTTCGTTTGAACGCGAATAATCAAGCGAACCTGGCGTAATCATTTCGTGCCAATCGAATAGTTCCCACCGTGCAATCTCGGCCCGCGCTACCACCTACGTGGGCTTCCACCTTTAAATCCGCGCGCACGTGATGCACCCGACTAACGACCCTCTCGGGAAGCCAAAACGTGTCTCTCGAATTAAGCACCCGGCAGCGGCTAGATCTAGGAGGCCCCCGGAGGAATTATTTCCGTGTAATAAACGAATCGACTCGCGCGGCGGCGCGCGCGGAGAAAACTTGGGGTGCGTGTACGCGAGAAAATATTACATGGAGGGCTCGAGTGCGCCGCGCGGAATTAAGGTGGATGCCTTAGTACGGACGTTTGCGTATATCTAAATAAAAGGCGGACTGCCGGCGCGATAAATTTTATTTACCGCCTTCTCGCCCGGCGCAATAAATAACTCTCGAGCTGCTTGAAGACGAAGAAGAAGCAGCAGCAGAGTAGCGGCTCGAATAAGGACAGCCGGACGCACATTTTGTAACGTCAGCCGCGCAGAGGACTCGAAATGAGTATCATTTCTCGTGCGACTGTTTAAACATCCGTCCACGATGGCGATGGAGCGATCAAAATAACAGACAAACGTAAGCCGCGTAGGCACTCATGTCGCAGTAGGAGAGATTGAGTTTCATTATCACACTTCTTACATACTGATTAAAGACAAACATGTAGTACTTTTTAATATTGCGTACATTTTTATGTAGATACAACCTTTAGGTAAAAGATAAAAAATATTATCCTTATATGTGTTTATATACAAACAAGTTATCAGGTTGTAAGCTAAGTCGAGTAAACGTGACTATTTGCTCCAAAACTGGATGTCACGTATCTTTCATACACTGAAAGAAATTATCTAATAAAAAATTAACAAACAGATATTTCTGAACAAATTTCGATCAATTTTTATATCCGACCAAGATATAAAAGCCCGATTAAATTTAATTGAATACTTCTGATTATAATGGCATTTTATCAGATAAACCGAACAAAGAATTATGAACCGATATTTCTCATCGGATGTTTCCTAATTAAGTAAAAAAATGTATCGGTATTTTGATGGAAAATATCCGTTTGTTAATTTTTTTATCGGATAACTTCTTTCAGTGTATAAAAAAAAACAACCCGAGTCGAAATTTTGGTAAACTGTTTTGAATTCTACAATGCAGCAGGAGCTAAAGTTAGCAAAATAGGTCTAATTCCAATGATACAATTCTCACTTTTTCTTTGACTCTGATGATGTCCGAAATTTCCCTTTTCACTTTAGTATCAAAATAGATGTTGAATGGAATAATGAGGTTGAAAGTAGAATCAAAATTTTGACTCGAAAAGACAGATTATCTCTATTTTAAGATTTTAGATGTTTCTTTAAAGTTAGTAATGTCTTATAATCAGATACAACAATCAGTGAATTAAGAAGATAATAAGTCTTATGCTTTGTAATAATAACTCAGCTATATATATGGGATATATGGGATCTTAGGCAGACTCGCTGTTGCGACATGCATAACATGTAATACATTATTACGTATGCTTCCATGTTCTTGCGTGAATTACATCATAGCTACGTGACGGACTCGCAACGCGTGACAACTAATTCCATTTGACACGAGTCAACTTAATCCGAACGGTATAAAAGATATTATATTTATTAATTGTGTTATGCTGTTAACTAAGTGCAGGAAAAATTAGTCAAACACGCTCATAACATTTCTCACAACTGAGAAGAGATTGCAACCAGAAAGTCCAAAACCAACGAATCGATAAAAATAAAGACAAAAGGTAATTTACTCACCGCGTCCAATTTGGAAAAAGTGCTGGTAAATAGCGCACGCGATGTCTCTCTGCGTCATAAGCCATTTCGTACACCCAATTAACATGACGCAAGCAACAAGCTATACTTTAGAGAAAAATATGCTGCTCCCATGATTACACGAGATATAAAGTTTGTGACAACCGACCCGTGTGACTTTGAGACCCGGTCTCCCCCCTACATATATTTACGTGCGAGCCGTTCTCTTATCACGTCGCGCGCAGCCCAAGCGCGCTGAAAACTATTAGCGTAATAGATAACAACGCGTGACGTCGGGAGAACGGTAGTCCGTGTTATTTTGCTACGCGACACGTAAACACGTAACCGTCGTTCAATTTCCAATGCGCGTTGTTGTTACGAGCATTCGTACCCGCCCCGAACTCGTTTCATTCTCCGGACCGACCATCCCATCATTACACGTCAGCGAGTCAAAGAACGCCGGAGGATTTTCGATCGAGAGGACGAGGGAATAGAAAAGCGGGTGGAGAAGGTATTGCCAAAGTTCGTCGGCCGAGCGCGCTCCCCCGTCCACCCATTAGCGTGTCAGTCATTCCGGCCGTGTAATTAAATTCCGTGCGCCGATGTCGTCGCGCGCGGATCTCCGCCCTTCGCGAACGGCTCTTCTTCCGTAGCTACCTACCTACCCATCTATTCGCGCATGCACTCTCCGCCGATTCCCCGAAATCAGCCCGGACTCCGTGGACGGTATCAATATTTTCCCTAGGAAAAATGTCGGGTCAGCTCCCGGGAGACGAAAAAGAGAGAGATAGAGAAACAGAGAGAGAGAGGGGTTGAACAGAGAGAGGAAGGTGGGAAAGGTTACGCGCAGGAGATGATATTCTTCCGGAGGGCCTCCTTGACATCGATTCTATCCATTTCCACGTTTCTCCGGCGCGTTTCTTGTCGCTCCGCAGTCTCATTTTCAATTTATCCCCGGCGCCCCTTTTGTCGCATTTTTCGTTTTACCGGAATCGCAGGGGTCGGTCCGATGGCGAATGGACTCGCGCGAACACAACAGATAAAACGAAAGTTTGTATCGCTGCGGGGCCGTACGCTCGTACTAGGACGAGGGAGGGAGGACAGGAGGCAGACTGGGGGGACGGGGGGAGGCTGATTAATGGACTTCTTGCCGAGGGCGGATGTATAACCGGTGAGAAAAAAATTAGCTTGGAAGAGGCCAGAGGCACGGAGAAAGAGAGAGAGGGCGAGAGAGAGAGCTGCATCTCGCTCGCGCATTACGGCCGTAGCACGCTCGATTAATTGGAGTTGTTGTGCGCGCCGTAATCGTCTGGCCGCTGTTGTTTAATCGTCCCGAGATGACTCTCGCGGGCGAGCGCGTGTCATCCTTTCTTGCGTTGTTATCCCCACGAACGATTGATACATTATCGATATCGATTCATAATTTTAGATTAATTGCGGGAGAGAAAGAAAGCCTCGTAGCGTATTTTCCGAGCCATTTTTCACGGCGCGATAGGTATTTGTTTTTCAGATGCGTATTAATAGACGCGAAAGTACATTTTTGCACAGCGTTGTCAATAAGATTGCATCATGGTGTTTCGTTTTTCTAATTCTCTCTTCTTTATCTCGATTGTTACAGAGGGTGTCGTAGGATGCGTGGTTCTCTCGGATGCTGCGCGAAAAGGGTCGTCGACGCGAGGAGATAAACTCGGAAGATTGTTTCGCGTAGGAAGCACCTCGCCTGTACATCGTTCCTAATTGACAGATAGAGGAGAGCAAGGGAAGATAAAAGAAGAGAAAGAGCGAGAGAAAGATAAGGTACCGGCGACGGAAAACTAGAAGCGGGGGAAATGAGAGGAGGGGCGGCGGCGGAAGACGGAGAAAGACGCGGAGCAGTGCTCGAAATTTACGAGTGAGCCGGTTTGCTTGCACGTCGCGCAAGGTCCAAGGTGGTGTCTAGGGGCGGTCGTGCCGCCGTAACAAATGGTCCAGCCGTGAACCGGCTCGCCGTGTAACGACACCGGAAGCAGGCGGCGAGGATCCACAAGAATTCAAACAGGCGGATGTGAGAAACTTGAAGCTCCGCTCGTAGTCGGTGTGCTGCGCGCGCGTGGCGAATCGTTGTCTCGGGGCGCGCGTGAATGTCCGGACGTGAACGACGGACTCGAGCGCAGCTCGTTTTGCAGACGTCGCCCGGGGACAACATGAACCTGAATCGTCGACGACGAGACGGCGCGCTCCTCGCCACGTCGTTCGCGTGAGAAGGAGGCAGAGAGACAAATAAGGAGAACGCGTCTCGTGCGATACTCTTTAACAACGCTCTTCCATCCGCGACTCGAGCCGACGAGGATGAGGACGAGATGCCGCGCTGCACGTTGTCGCCAAGGTTTCCCAGAGGCTTAACTCCACCACGAGACAATCCAGCCCAGATGGGTTAAAAGCCGCGGCCGCGATTGACGGCGCGATCTCATGCTGCTTGTGAAATGGCGATCACACCGCGCTCTCGAAAGTGCAACAAGTGGTGTCCAGATCCTCGATGCTGAGACGTCATCGATGTTACTCGACAGACGGACGACGAGGACGACGAGGAGATCCGGCACCGATCAGGTTCGCGACCGGCTGGATCCGAGCACTCGAGTTGCCGTTGGAGGAGGAGCAGGATCGCCCGTGTTTTCCAGGATGCCCTGTGTACGAGCGCGCGCGATGCCGGTGGGATTAAGTGTCTAATGAACTCTGAATCCGTTTCTCGTCTCGAACACGACCGTCTCGAAATTTCTTCGTTAGGACTAGACCCTCGGCCTCGGGGATAAGTAGATTTACTTCATCGGGTCGAAACGAGTCTCGGCTCGAGAGAGAGAGAGAGTTACGAGACCGTGAGTCGAGGAGCCCCGGTCCGATGCTGTTCGTTAACCTTATCAAAGGCCACTTCATTGACCGCGGCCCAAAGAAGATCGGCGACCGAGTGTGGCCCCGAGCTGGGATTTCAGCTTGATTCCTGACTGCCGGCTTCACGCGGATCCGCCGACGTCGCGCTTTGTTTTTCGGGAAATTGCGCGTGGATCCAGGGAGGAGGTCTTAATTCGCACTTTGGCGGTTCGTCTAGGATGAAGGAGAATAGCGTCGCAGCATTAACGTGTGTGGAAGAACATAGCGTGATTCAATGCTGCGCGCGGATACCCGGAGGAAGTCCTCGATCGCGAGTCCATGGCGACGGCAACGTTCGATGCTGAGCGAACGGGGAAGACATTCGCCGAAAGTCGACGATGACGACGATGATGACGACGATGACTCTTGGTGCCGGATCTCTCGCATTCGCGTGAATCCATTGAATAGTGTACCGTCAGCGTCCGCGCGCCGCGGGCAAACACGTCGGCTGACGCGCTCAAGGACTCCGCGATAATCCGCAAGGCGTTGTCGCATCCGCAGAGACGACGTCGAATGAGACGATAGTGATGAAGATATCGAGCGAAGCTAGCGTCCCACTACTAAGCGCCGTCGGTCCGCGCTGCATCGTCAAACAGGCGACGGTGAAGCGGTGCGTCGCGGCGCTTCTGCTCATCTCCATCGCCAGTATATTCTACTACACGCACTACATCATCAGCAGCCCGTTCTCCAGGTGAGTCCAATTATTGCATGCACCGTTACAGTGAGTACAGTATGAGCAGATCTTAGAATTATAAGATTGAAACGCGCGCGCACAGTAAGGACGAAGCGAAAAGTAGGTAACTGACACAATAGATGTGACATAAGTATAAGAAAGAAATTATCGTCTCTCGGCGAGACGATAATTACAAACTGAGATAAACATCTTACGAGAAGGAAATGATTTGGCCAATGAGAATCTCAGTGTCACCAAGATTGACGAAATCAGAATAATTGTATAAAAGCAAAATACGTTATATAAGAGGCACCTGCTCTCACACTCGCGCGCTCGTAAAATTAGACACATTTTAGTCTGAAATGAAGTTAAGTTTCATAGCTAATTTAGTTCCATAGCTCTTCGCTTTCGTAATCAATTCCTCCATTTATCCTCGAGTTCTTTAAAGCATAATTATTTATTCATTTGTTTGTTTAAATAATGAGATCAATTACAAATGAAACAATGATTAATTTGAATATATTAGTTTTAAGCGGAATTACCACTAATTTTTTTCTGTACGGTTATCGATTTGTGCTAAATACGATGTGGGTTATACCTCAACTGTGCATTTATCGTGTTGGAAAGTTTTAAGAGTGAATTTCTCCGAACTTTGATTGGTGATTTAAAACTGCTATCAGAGTAGAGTGTTACCTGCTTTATTTCGCTCAAGTCGATATTGAAATTATTGATTTTCCGATTTTTCTTGTGCAAAAATTACGAACGATATTCATATAATGTGTCACTTCAGCTTAGAACAGATGTTTAAAGAATTTCGTATTTGATGTTAAATATACGTCAGAAGAATGCGCGGATATCTTCGTGCCCCGCGTTTGACTACGAGTCAGAGTCGAGCCGTCGTTTTCTATGTCCGGAAGCGCCGTAAACAGCGTAATGCCTAATTGGCGCGAGGTTTTTGCACACAACATCTGCCGCGCTGAAACTTGGACCGGAGTCTTTTCGCCCGTAATAACACGCCACGATCGGAAAAACGGCTGTTGTAGCGCGTTTCTTCGGATTGTTAACTCTTAAGTTTCGACGTGACCGTTGACTCGGTCGCGGATGATCGCGGCGACGTAAAACGAAGCTAAGAGCGCGCGCGTTCGCGTTTACGTAGTAATAGCGGAATTATATCAATAGAGAACTCGGAGAGATAAGTACGGTGCGGTAACGGTATTGCGGTAATAGCACGCAAACGCAACGGATGTTATTCAACAGAATATGCGCCACGTAAGCGAATTTAATGCCAAGAGAGAAAAGGGGAAGAGATAGATAGAGACAGAAAAGGCGAGACGTGGAGAGAGACAGTTAGTATCGAGTTGCGAAATGAGGTGAGTCGTTTAGCGAAAAGTGAAGTAAACTGGCGACACTTTTAATTACTTTGTGTGTAATCAAGAGAGGGACGCAAAGCGGACCAATTAGGGCCGCGAGTTAGCTGACCATCGCATCGGCCAGTTCGTAACTCTGAAATTGCGTGGTCGCGTGCAACGTCGCTGCTAATGGCAGGGCATCTTCCGCGAGGAATCCCGCGCACTCGTGCGTCATAGACGATTTGCCTTGATGTCTTTTTTTTGCGAGGCGACGACGCGGAAAAGTAGATGCACGATGCGAACATAAACGGACGCCATTGGCGGCAATCAGTCACGGAAGAAAAGACTCTATTATTACACGCGTACAGACAGAGAATGTCTCGTCAGCAGCGATAATTATTTTTATCTTTTTTCTTTTATCTTTTTATCTTTTTATCTTTTATCTTTTTAAGATTTTTCTTCTTTTGTAATACTGACGATCGTCTCTGAGTCGAAATTTCGGCTCCACATTAAACCTGCAAATTTCATCGAACTTGAAAAATCATAGTCGACAATCTCAAAGCATAATATTATGCACTAAGAGAAAAAATATCTTAAAAAGATAAGAAATACTTATTTGGGGATATGGAAACTAATAGCATACTTATTTAAATCTTTTATTTAAATAGATTTAGATATCTAAATATATTTATTTAAATAGGTATTTTCTAAATTCTTTTATTTAAATAATTAGATTAAGTTTAAAGTAATTGGAATTAAATAAATAATTACTTTCATGAAAAACTAAGATTTTAAGAAAATATATATTTTATTACGTAAAATATTTTGAAAAATATTATTACGTTAGCGTATAAGTAAATATGTTATTAGTATCCATCAAATAAATGTTTCTTTCTTAGATATTTTTTTAGATATTATTCAGTGTACAAGCTATTATTTTTTGTGCTACAAATAGTTACTTAATATCGTTGAGGCTTGAAGAACTTATTTAAGAATTATTTAATCTCCTATCATATATCGATAATTTACGTTGAAAGAATTGGCTTAAAAAGTATTGGCTGGAGAATTATTTAATACTCGATTATCTCGATAGATGTCTATCTGCATTTAATCTTTTTTAATTGCCATAAAAAATGTATTATGCAATTTATTCAACTGCAGACAAAATATTTTAGTCGGGTAAAATTGCAAATAAAATAACAGACGCGCAAATAAAATAACACTCTTTTTCTATAATATTATTCGTGCACATTGCTTATTGTAATTATGGTTAGAAATTTAATATATGAATAGAATATTGAGATAATTGTATATTAAATAATTCCCGAGTAAACGTCTCTTCGAGTCTCAACACGGAGATTAAAGTGAGACATTAGCCTGTACGGTGTTATAACTCGAGGTTCTCTGTTGATCCTTCAAATTCGACGGTATTTGCAGGATTAACGTAGAACCAAACTTTCGACTCAGGTTTACATTATTTTGTCCGAAGGAAAAGGACAAACTGACAGCTCACCATTGTTAGCACAGCGAGACAACAATGATATCACGCGATAATATCGGTATAATTAACGAAATAACAATAATATTGTTATCAACAGCAATAATGAACATGCACACGCGCGCGCGCACATACACATACACGCACACACATTTTCTCGACTACACCGACAACATCCCGATCTCAATAATGCTCGAGATAATTGCAAGCTGTATTTTTTTTTAACGAACTGCCGTCATGATATGAATTCCTGGCGCGGATAATAGACAAAGGAAGAGGGAGAGTATATTGCAATTTCGCGCAGAGGAAATGAACGCAGCGTGCGGTAAAAATGTTTGTGTAAAACAATTTTTGCTGATGCAGAAATGTTGGGAGAGTATCAAAGCGCATTAATCTAACTTAGTCACCGGTGCATTTTCGTGTCGCGTAATAATAAAATATTTTTGTCACGCAGCTAACACACCGTCCATTATACCGTAAATATACGTGGCTGTTATCAAGAAAATCGCGTACAGGAGAATTTTATTAATTACTCCTAGTCGAAGGTAACAAGAGACGCATGAAATTATCATTGGCTTACGTCGAAGAATACTTCACACATGCCTGATTATATGCCGCGTATATCGCGAACTCGAAGCGCCGAATAACCGTCGTTATCATTTGCAAGAACTACATTTTTCCTCGTTTGTTTCCCTCTTCCGCCGCGCGAATTTGTTGTCGATTTTTGAATTTCGCCGGGTAACAGAGTCAAAGCTTCCCGCGGGCGTATTTTAAAAGGCACGGCCGAATTCGCGCGAGCGGAACGAAAGACGCGGGCTTTGATCGTTCATTTGGCAAATGAACAGCGTGCAAACGAAGATACTCGGGAATTTTAGTAAATAGATCTCTTCTGCCACGTTGTGGAAACTAAACGGGTATCCGGGAGCTCCTCGTATGCCCGGGAAGACCCGGGACTAGCTCGCGCAAGGACGAAATAGTTTGTGGACTCAGCAAATTGGCAGGTACCTTCGGTCTTAGAGACGATCCAATTTAAATCAGATATACGAGCGCGGGAGTGATACGTACGCGCGTGTCTCGCTATAACATGTACATATGTATGATGAAAGAGAGAGAGAGAG